TTGTGAAGCCCCGTCTTTTCCTCATTCCAATAAATACCAAATAAAAAAAAAAAAAAAAAAAAAAAACAAAACATTTTAGTACCTCAGTACCTTTAATTTAAAAAGTCTACCTTGTACATTTCAGGTGTTTCTTGTTGTGTGGTTTGATAATTGATTTCTCAGAAAAATAAAAAATGAAATTTGACCAGAGATTTTTATTTTTTTTTTAAGCAGAAATGTATATCCAAGACTATAATGTTTTTGTTTTCTATCGCCAGGGCTTGTGGATTTCAGGGAATCAGTGTAGCAAAGAAATGCTGCGCTCCTCAATCTTCGCCAACCGGAAACGCAAGAAGAATAAAGAAAAATCTCAACTCAGCAGCTCAGACGATGACCTGGACTCTGGTTTCAACAAAAAGGAGCTCCCAGAGGGGGGTCAGCAGCCTCTGTGGTCCCAGGTCAGCCAGGCGGAGGACAGCGGCCAGACGGACGAAGACGGCGAAAAAGACAAGCACAGGAACAGCTCGGAGGAAACCATCAGGAAAGAATCTGAGTCGGTCGCCTCCCTCCCTGGAGAGCACATTCCCTCCGGCCATCAGATGCCTCCATACGCCTCACCTTCCAGTTCCCCAAACCTCAACTACCGCATGGCGGTAACGCATCAGTCGTCTCTGTCAGACCCGCCCTCCAACTACGACGACACCGTGTCGGACCTCGGTACGATGAACAGCACCAGCTCTCAGGCCTCGGTGCCCAGAGCGAGGAGGAACAAGAGCGCGGTTCTGGGCGCGGACGCGTGCCCCGGCGGGCTGGGAGCCGAGGTCTGCTCCATCACCTCGGACTACTCCACCACGTCCTCCATGACGTTCCTGACCGGAGCCGAGACCTGCACGCTCAGTCCCGAAGTACAGTCTGTGTCCGAGAGCAGAGGGGGCGAAGACGCCGACGACGAGAGGAGCGAGCTCATCAGCGAGGGCCGGCCCGTGGAGACGGACAGCGAGAGCGACCTGTCTGTGTTCACCATCGGGAAAGCGGAGAAGAGCGAACTTCCGGAGTCCACCCGACCGCTGCCGTCGCACAGGCTCATCGAGTGCGACACGCTGTCCAGGAAGAAATCCAGCAAGCAGAAAACCGAAAGTGAGACCTCTCTGGACGACAAAGATCCCAGCAGGTTGTCGCAGGCTGTGGGTTCGGCAAAAGGTCGATCCAGCGGGAGTCTTAGCTCGTCGTCACGGAGCGAGCAGGATAAAACGGAGCCGGCGTGGAAGCTGAAGATAACCGACCGACTGAAGGTCCGCCTGCGAATGTCCGTGGACGACATGTTCGGCGTGGGCAGCCAGAGGAGCCGATCTCCAGAGGGGCGCAGTAAGAAAAAGAACATCAGGCGCAGACACACGATGGGCGGGCAGAGAGACTTCGCAGAGCTGTCCGTTCTGGGGGACTGGTCGCAGCCGGTCGGCTCGCGCTCAGAGCTGTCAGCCGTCGATCGGCTTAAACCGAAGTGCAGCTCTCAGGACTTTTCCATCGGGGATTGGATTGCCCGTGAGCGCCACCGCACCAGCAACCCAGAGGTCAGCCTGGACGTCTCAGAGCAGCTCGGGGCGCTGTGCGGCTCAAACTCCCAGAACTCCGGCGCCCCGTCCTCCTCCGAGCTGGCGCGCGGTCCCGCTGAGGCGTTAAACGGAGAAATCTCACAGAGCAAAAATCTGAGCCTGTCTGCCACCGCTCACCCACATAAACTCACCAGTTCCCAGGTGGTCCATTCGCGGTTCTACCAGTACCTGTGACAGGTGTGTGTGTGTGTGTGTGCGTGTGTGTGTGTGTGTGTGAAACGTATTCCTGTCTCTATATTCTCTGTCACGTGACCAATGTTGGTGAATGAGCATGTTTACAAACGTTGTCTGGAGTGCGTCTTTTACCAGGTGTGAGTGCGGTTATAAAAACAGATGAACCATTTATCTAACCTCTGAACAAGGCATGGAACAAATGTTTATATCTTTTTAATTTTCTCATTTTTTAATGACAAAATAAGTCAAAAAAAAAAAGGACCTGTTGCTAATGAAGCGATGAGCTAGTGAAGTATGTTGAAGGATGAGTGAACGCTGGAAGGTGAAAGGCTATAAGGAGGATGCGACTTAGAATAATAGGAAGTAGTTTAAAAACAAAAAGAAAAGTACAGATTTTTAGTATCGCAGAGGAACTATTTTTGTGTTAAGAAAGTTACAATGTTTAAAGTCAGCGAGGCTGTCGGTAACCAAATGAAGAATGTACAGACATGCTTGCTGTAATACTGACTAAAAGCTTTACATGCTTGTTTTCATTCTAAAGTGTACATATTCTTATTTTTCTGTGTACTTGAAGTGTGTTTTTTGGTACAGCCTGTGTGCGACTGACTGCCTACAAGCTCTCTGCTGTCAAAGGGGCCTTTCCAAGGGTATAAAAGTTAACCAGAAGACACTGGACTTATGCAAATAGTTGATACGGTTCATGTTCATTCCTGCTGTGTGGTTGGAAAAAAAAAAAAAAAAAAAGCAGTAAACGTGTCAAGCTGTGCTTTTAGACTCGATGGATTTTAATGGGTCACGCATCTCTCAATGGGCGGCAGTGGAATCAAATGAAAAGCTCTGAGGATCAATCAGGAGAAGAAACGATTAATTACAAAAAGAAAGTGCCTCACATTGAAATGTTAAGGGTGCCATACTGTCTTTGTTGAAGATGTTGCTGTGAATGACTTTTTTTTTTTTTGTTTTTGTTTTTTTGAATCGACTCAGTCATTCTGCTGGTAACGAAAAAATGCCGAGCTTCCATTCTTTAGGCATTCCACTCTGGTCTTAAAGGTTTTATACACCCCTCTCGTTTTTCATCTCTTGGTTTTTAACGGCACTTGAATTTTAAATGTTCATTGTGAAAATTAAGAAAGAGTAATTTAAATGTGCAAATATGCCATGTTTTAGCTGCTTTGCATCTCCATCAGATCACAGGATTCAAGTACAGTATTGTAAAACGATGATGATGGTGGGTGTTGTTGGCAGTTTGGTACTTCTCTGTGCAGAGAGGTTCGCCGAGGGGAGACGGAGGAGGGATATTTCATTGAGTGGGGTTATTTGTATGGATATAATGTTCCTCAGATTGTGAAGAATGTGCACAGACTCCTGAAACACTGGAAATAAATTTTATGGTAGAAATTCAAGTGTGCAGTATGTTTTTTTTTTTGTTTTTTTTGTCATTTCTTAGTATAAAAATATACATGGAAACCTAATTGATGCTATATGAATATTTGATGTAAAAAATGACACATGATTTGAGAACTTTATTTAAAAATGTGGACCAGTACCAAGAAAATTAACCAATTTAAATTAACTTGAATTATAACATTGATACAACCCCAATTATAATGAAGTTGGGACATTATGTGAAAGAAAAACAGAATGTGATGATTTATAAAACCTTTTCAGTCTATATTCAATTGTATAAAATTTAATATAGGCCTAATCATGCAAGAAGCTTGTAGGACGTACTACAAGCTTTCCAGGCATTTTGTAGCATAATCAAGTAACTGTTACCTTCGGTTTGTTTAAAAACACTTAATATATCAAACATAAAAGAAATTTGACTTTGCAATTTGATACCTTGAAATTGGCCTCTGTTTCTTTAAGAACTTCCTGCTTTTTGTAAATGTGTCAGCTGCATGTAATCTAACGCCACAACAGGAATGAATGTGGAAAAGGTCCAGGTTGAATGGGCCTCGACAAACGTCAACTTTGCTTTTACGTGAAATGAATAAGCCCTTTTCAAACTAGAAGTCTGTTTTTAATCGTAAATGTAATAGAAATTAAGTTTTTATCTGTCAAGTAAGATGCATTATTTCTTGCTGTACGCGTTAGTCTGTTGGTTAGACTTAGGAAACAAATTTAAGACAAAATACATTTCAAAATGCTTTATATACAAGTTGAACATATAACATGGAGACTTTATCAGTTTTATACACTTTATACAGCAGCTGACTGGAAACCACAGACAATACAAACAGAAATGAAGTGAGGAGAAAAGACTTGGTAGAACATACAGCAAAGAACTTAATAAACGCAGAAAATTACGTTTAACGTTGGGAAACTGCAAACTAAGTAATGGTTACATATGTGGAATTGTAATATACCGTTGTCTGTTTATTTTATATGGCGCTCTTTCCGATGTATTGTGAGAAAACAAAAACAAAAACGTTAAAATCCATAGACGTCTCTGTTGCTCTGTTCGGACCATGTTTTCTCATTTCATAGTGTCGTGTGGGCTCCAAACGTGAACATCTTCCCCACAGTAAGGCACAGTGACAAAAACAAGAGCTCTATAGAGAAATGTGGGCACAAAGAAATTATTAAAACTTCATTATTTATACAATCTTTGAGTGTAACAGCTTTAAACGTTGTGCCTTCATCTTCTAAAGCCACTATGGACTGATGCATCCACTTACACACAGTAAGACACTAAACAGAGAATCTGAAAAAAACAACTCTGAATAACCAGGAACACAATCATTTTAGTTGGTTGGCAAGATTATCACAAACTGGCAGCCATCAAAGAGTTATATCTTCTCATGGGAATAATCTGCAAAGCACTTGTTTTAGCCTGCCTGTTTGGGTTGTCGATCCTCTGTTTGTCCACCAGAGGGAGTACTGGTCCAGCTTTTCGGAGAGAGAGAGCAGCTGCACTTATAGGAGTTTTATTCAGCCTTTGTCTGACCGGTTTCTTCAACAGTAGCCAGCGTGAGTCGAGCACTAGGGGAATCGGGGCCGACGCCCTGTTTGCACATGCAGGTGCTTCAGAATAGAGCTAAAATCAGATTGGACGGCAGGCGGCGTAGACTTTAGATTAGAAAGATTTGTTGCATATTGTGCTGTGATTGAGGAGGTGGCCACGGCTGTCTGGCGGGCCCAGGTTTAACTGTCTTCCTCGACCTCATCCTGGCCGTCACCCTTGGGCGTCTCTGGCTCCCTGAAACACTCCTCAAAGAAGTTGACAAGGGACTGACTCAGGTGCTGCTGTGTGCCTTCGCTGTGCAGGAAGTGGCCTTCGTCCGGGTAGATCTGTGAAACAGGAACGGGAAAATTATTTAAACTTAAGCAGTGACTCAGCGTACAGTAGAAAAAACAAGGATTTATAATCTGCACGTCAAGAAAAATTGCTGGGAGTCAAATTTGGAGATTTCAAAATCAGTAAACATTTACAAACAAGTCATTTTAATATATTCCCATTTTTGTTCATGTCACCAGAAATACATTTTTCAAGATGTTCAGAAATAATAATACACAAGCCTGCCATCAAAAACAGTTTTAAGTCAGCAAGGACCAAAGAGGTCCAGATCAAACAATTGCAGCTGCATTTTCTTAAGTCTACATTGAAACTGGGGCACTCCACCAGGAAATGGATATAAAAACGTTAAAACTAATCTCTTAGCTAACTGAGAGATTAACATCACCTTTTTGTCACCAAATATTCAAGATTAAAACTTTTGAGACATCTACAAATTCAATAAAACCAACTCAAATCCATCCAGTTATAGAATAATGTGGCCAAAGAAAACAATCGTTTGTCTCATACACACAAAAACAATGAGTCAAAGGTGCAGCATAATTACAAGTAGGTGGTTCTTACCTGGAAAATAATCATCTTTAAAATCATTTTAGCTGATAAAACACTGTTAAATTGTCACAAAAAAAAAACGTTTTCATAAAAAACAAACAGCTACAGTAACAGAAGCTCACCTGTAGAGTGTAATTGGCCTTCTCGCTGATTAAATGGTTGATGAATTTTGCTGTGTGCTGGAAGTGAACCTTTTCTGCGTTGGTGGAGAGAACGAGAGCGAAGACACACATGAGACTGAGGAACACAGACTCTTATCACTTGTCATGCTGTAATGTTAAATCATAAACACATAATTATGAATATGATACCATCAGCTGTCGGGTGAATTATTAAGAACTGTTTCTCCAGCAACCGACCCGCTCTGTGAGCCAAATTAGCCATCTAGAGGAGAGAAAAAGGAAAATCTATCTGAAGTTCAATCAGTATTGAACGTTAACCTGCATATACAAGTGTGGTAAAATTTGGGTAGTAAATATTAAAACACTTCACCGCATATACTCTGGAATCTGTCTTTGGGCCAAGGTATCGCTCTGAAAACGCAGATGCTGCAATGTTGGGGGAGGAAAAAAAGAAATTAGATGGAAAAACAAAATAATAACACCCTAGAACTTTTTCACATTCTGATACTTTATCAGAAGCATATTTACTTGTTTTATAGAGAATTTATTGGACAGACCAACACAAAATAGGGCATCATTTTAAAGTGCAAGGAGAAGAATATAAATCTCTGAATTTTGTTTTGACAAAATATGGTTTTACAGACCATGATGAATTTCAAAATCCTAAACTCACAATTCTGGAGTTTTACTTTTGAGTACAAAATAAGAACCCTTAACTACTTGAGTGGAAATTAGGTCTTTTGTTCTTGAGATCGCATGAGTCATGAAATGGAACAAAACAGAAATTGACTTCTTACTCGTCAGGGAGTGACACCTTTTGTCAGACATTCCCCACAAAAAAACCAGAATAAATCAAATCTGTTTGAAACTGAACCTAAGGCCCAGTTAAAACTGAATTTAGAGTTGGAACCTTTCCTTAATGAGAATGCATTCAGTCTGTAAATGAAAAGCCAAAATACTAAAATACACCACATCCATAAAATCATGATTCTAATTGAAAATAAGTACATTATTTAAATCTCATTAAATCCATAAAAACCCAAAACATTTCTTCTGTATTATCAGAGCTTGTCCTTGAGATTTTTTCAGGTAAATCAAATGCTTTTTTTCCCCACATTAAATTAATTTCTTTCCCCATATTTATAGAGCTTTGCAAAATGGTAAAATCAAATTTCATCCTCTACTACTCTGCTACTTGTCGGACTATCGAGTATGGATACAATACAGACAGGGTGTGAAATTGTTCAAGAAGCATCAAAGCTCTTGCAAGGTTATGTCAACGTGAAAACAGCCAGGCCCTTGCACTTAAAAAAAAAAAAAAAAAACCTTGAAAATTATACCGTAAAGCTCAAAATCTGTGATAGGTGAGACGGCCGCTCCACATTTCAGCTGCGTAAACTCTTCAGAGCTCAGAAGCATTGTGGCTAAGTATCCGCCGTAGGCCTGAAAAGAGAAGGACAAATAGAAACACGGATCCACCGAGCAAGCTTTTTCGTTCAATGAAAGCGGAGGCCAACTGGAGTGAAGACCCCATTCCACACGAATGCCATTCCTCTTTTACCTTCCCGTAAACTCCCATTCGATTCTTATCGATGTAAGGCTCTTTGGATATGAACCTGAAATGAATAAAAGAAAAAGAAAAAAAAAAGATAACAAAGAGAGCTTGAAAATAACCAGGTCCTTGAGTTGCAGCCACTCACACTTGTAGTAAAGGTTTCACCTGAGTGCCTCCATCTGGTCCCTCTCCTCCAGCTTCCCCAGCCTCCTGCGGACCTTGTGGAGCAGGTTGGTGCCCTGGAAACCGCTGCCATGGCCATCGAAGCGGATGACGATGGTGCTGAAGCTACTGACGAGAACCGTGGCCCAGTCCACCCGGAACTGCTCCGTCACCATCTGCCCACCAGGTGTGCCATCACTGTGAGGGAAGAAATGTATTTTACTGGCGGATTGGGCGAATTCCAATATCATAAAACATCCATGTTTTTTTTTTATTAGTTATTTTTCTAGGTTTAAATTATTACATTATTTGACTACGTTATGTAGTCAAATAAATATTAGCCCAATTACCCAGACATGATGGAGACATGATATGAAGCTCAAAAAAGTCAATTTTGCCATGAAGTTTTTGGGATAGGAGTTATTTTAGGACACTGGAAGCCTGCTTTGGACTTTGTCTCACTTGGACTAGCTGTAAGGTTAAGCCTCCAGAATCAACTAATCTGGTTTTATGATAAATGAAGAAGCTGTAAGAGCAATCTGCTGCAGGTAGGATATTAACTGCTTTTAACAGAACAAAGGAGGCTGGATAAACCCTAATCTGTCCCTGAAACTGACAGACAGCATTTGGTTATTTTCGAAATCCATGTTTTCACTTGCCTCTTTATATAAATCTCAGGTTGTCAAGCTATTTTTCTTTAAACGTATTC